TATCTCTATATCTAACTCGATTAGTTTTAGGTGATACAAACAACCGTTAGGTGAGCAAACTTATACTCTGTAGCAAGAGGTTGCGAGAGTATAAAAATAACTAACGCAATTCTTGGTTGAGTTATTAACAGCTCCACTGACTCCTTCCCGGTGAAAGACCTCTTCGTAGTCAAACCACCCCTCATATCAACAAAGAGCTCGGTTTGTCATGCGAGAATTTAAATTTAGTTTTGGACACTACAATAGACTAAACTCATGCAAAGAGCCTCTTATAACACTAACCTCCTATATACATTAGGGTGGATCGAAACAAATGTTTTTCTTTGCCCGAGGGTAAAATCTGTAGATTATAAAAAAATTAAATTTTTGGACAAAAAAATTTTTTTTAACATCTAGAGGCGGCGCATTTAGTTTTAAAGTAAATTTCGAGTAAAGTATGATCCGTATCCAAGTCACTGAAGTGAAGCAAACCACTTAAGAGCCATCATATGGTAGCAATTCCCAAAATCCTTTAGTTTTATCTCCGAGTTCAACAGGTTTTCAAAATGTGGTTTTATTGTAACCTTCTTTATTCTATATATTTCAACAAAATTAAAATTTAGTTTCAACTTATTTACATACATATATTAGTTTATTGATTCGATTTACATTTAAAAATAATAACTTTCCGAAATTAACTGCACGAAATACTTAAGTGGCTGTTGTCGGGTTCTGATATTGTCAACAACCGCACTGGCAGTATAGTATATGATAACATCTACTTCAACTGAAAGAAATTTTTTTGTGTTGAGGATGAATTGTTATTACAATATTACAAAACTTCAATTGCAATAGAGTTGTACACACCGTTCATAAAATAAACTACAATTAATTCTTCTACTACTATTCCAATTCATGCGGAAATGGAATATACGACGAATTTCGGAAAATATATGTACATTTTATTTTGAACGTATTTCCTTTTATACTTAGTCTTGCCATAATTTCTGTTGCAAGTTCAGACCGTTATAAAAATGAAACTATAATGCATTTTTAACAAAGTTAATTTTATTATGCTGGGTGGTTTTTGCCTTGTGTGTTGGAGCATAATCTTGCTGGAAGATCTAATGCTTTCCATCGAAGAGAGTATTGTTTAACTGCTTTACCACGCCTTCTAAATCATCATATTTGTCGTTTTATTATTAATCACTTTTTTGATAGTGAAAATCTGTTCATTTGTAAAAAGGATAATTTCATGCCCGTTGACCGCGTGCTATTGAATAAGAATCTGTTGAGCATAATTTGCTTCAAGCGCGAAGTCAGAATATGACCACATCTTAACATAATTTTTTTCTAAGGAAATTCGATTGGATCGAACCACGCAAGGACGACCTCTTTTTGTTTGTCATCAACTGTAGACGTTTGGAATAACGATCAATAGTGCGGTAAACAAAAATTCTCAATATATTAATCTTATTAAGAAGCTCATAAATTTCACTTGCGCTTTTTCCACACTTATATATAATATGTATGTAAAGCAATCACCACACCACGATGTTTTTTAGCTCCCCACTCCAATGTTAATAAGCAAACAATAAGCAGGTAATTTAATATGAGTATACACTGCATATACAAATTATAATAAAAAACAACGACTATTTTTTAGGCGAATTTGTCCTCGCTGTATGCATTGCTAACTTTGTAATACAATTTATGGGAGGAGTACATTCATTCATAAAAATAAGTACCCAGCTAAGCTAAGGTAGAACAAAATCACCTATTGCATCTATAACTGTATAAATGCGCGAGTGCAGTCGCCATTTGACAGCAGAATCCAATTATACTTTATGAGAGAATATCGTCTACCTACCGCAGACCATTGGCACCATAGTAGGTGGAACTGTTAAAAGCATCAAACTACTCAACAGCAGTTATCTACACTATTTTGCAAATTTCAGAGTTTAAATAGATTGAATATCTTTACAGAATATATATTATATTTTCTTAAGAACGTTACTAACTGAATAGTTTACCTAAATGGATATTCACCAAAATCGTTCCTCTTTAAACGCTTTATGCATTTTGTAAGTAATACTTTCTATAACACTATTTACATATGATTAATATAATAATTATAATTGTAATAATTTTGCTTAAATGCTGCGTTCCTGCAGATTGATATATAGTAAATTAATATTAAAAACTAAACGTTGCTCTTAAAATTCTAATGAACTTCCATTGTTATACTCTTGCAACATGTTGCTACAGAGTATAATAGTTTTGTTCACCTAACGGTTGTTTGTATCACCTAAAACTAATCGGGTTAAATATAGGGTTATATATATATAAATGATCAGGATGAAGAGACGAGTAGAAATCCGGGTGACTGTCTGTCCGTCCGTCTGTGCAAGCTGTAACTTGGGTAAAAGTTGAGATATCTGTTTCTTGATACCGTAAGACGGTTGATATTGCAGATGGGCGTAATCGGACCACTGCCACTCCCACAAAACGCCATTAATCAAAAATAAATAAATTGTCATAACCAAGCTCCACAATAAGATACAAGGCTGGTATTTGGCACACAGGATCGCATTAGGGAGGGCATCTGCGGTTAAATTTTTTTTTTTTAAAGTGGGGGTGGTTCCGCCCCTAATAGGTTTAATGTGCGTACCTCCTAAACTGCTAAAGCTACAATAACACAATTCACTGAGAGTAGGCGTTTTCAGCACCTTTATCGACAGTCTAAAAATGGGTGAAAACAGGTGACAACCCCGCCCTCTCCCAATATAACGGTACTGTTAAAAATCACTAAAAACGCGATAAATCAAGCACTAAACACGCCAGAGACATTAAATTTTATCTCTGGGATGCCTTCAGATGACTTTATAGAAACCGCATTCAAAATTAGACAGTGGGCGTGACACCGCCCACTTAACGGTGAAACCCCATATATTGGGATCTGCTTAAGCGATTTCAACCAACTTCGGTACATAACATTCTTCTCATACAAGTATTTCTATGTTATAGTGCGAAAATGGGCAAGATCGGATTACAACCACGCCTATTTCCCATATAACAATATTTTAAATTCCAGCTGATTCTTTCACTTTCCACTATGCAAATCAAGCAACAATGATTGTATTGGGGTAAAACTTTGCGTGAATAATTTAAAGTATGCCACCTTGTGACCAAAATTTGTCTAAATCGAACTAAAACTGTTCAAGCTACTAGGTACTGAATATGTGAACCCCAGTGCCTATAGTTGACTTTTTACCGCAAAGATCGGTCAATAAGTAAGATATACTATTTCAATTCATATAATAAAATAAAGGAAACTCTCGATAATAGTAAGTCTTTGTGTCAAAAATGCGTTGAATCGTTTAAACCGTTTAAAAATAGACATTGATCATACAATTGCTCTGGCCAGTAAACTTGGTTGTATCCACAAAAATGAGGATTCCTCCTGATTTGTAATATGAACATACAGGTTGGTTGAAAAGGTGGTTGGTCTTACCAAAAAATAGCACTACAAGCTCCAAATTCTTTCAAATTGCTAAATCTGTCATGAGAACTCATGCAAAGTTACAAGTCATTATGTCAATTAATTTTTTTGTTTACAAGCCATTTGAAGTGGACGTGTCAGAGTATTTTTTTAATATGGGAAAAATTTAATATCGCGCAGTAATTAGATTCTTCGTTTGGAATGGTTTAAAATCAAAGGAAATTTATGAACCATTGTTAGAAGTGTACAAGGGTTCCTCACCTTCAAAACGCACCGTTGAATTTTGGGCTGGTGAATTTATATGTAGGCTTGAAGAGGATCCACGAGAAGGACTACCAAAAGTCGCAACCACCCCAAAAATCTTTGAGTAAGTTCATAATATTGTTAGTGAAGATCCAAGTTTGACTATGCGTGAAATTGGTAATGCCATAGACATCTCAGGCGAACGATTTAAGCAGAATAAAACTGAGACTTGGATCTACTACCATGATCCTAAATTGAAACAAGAACGTTTGCAGTGGACTGAATCTGGTTGTTCAGCTCCAATGCAGGGGAAGTCACAACGATCAGCAAAGAAGGTTATGGCATCAGTATTTTCGGATGCAAAAGGAATTTTGTTGATTGATTACCTGCAGAAAGGTAAAACAATCTACTATTATTAATTTTGTCTTTTGGATCAGCTGGATGAAAAAGTTCGTGAGAAAAGACCTAATTTGCAGCATAAAAAGATAATTTTTCATCAAGACAATGCACCTGCTCACTAAAGGTGTTGTAACAATGACAAAATTCATCGAATTAACGTACGAATTGCTTGAGCATCCACCGTATTCACCAGAAACCTGAAACAGTTCCTTCGTGGAAAGCGTTTTTCGTAAATGAAGAAGCTATAAAAGCCGTATACGGGTATTTTGCAGAGCTTTCGGAAAGTCATTATAGAAATGGCATAAAATTATTGGAAGATCGTTAGAATAAGTATTTTGAAGTTAAGGGAGATTATATTGAATAAAAAAATATATTTCGTACCAAAAACAGCATTTTTTCATGTCGAGCGATGAAACTTTTCAAGCAACCTGTATTTCGCAAAAATAAAATCTGACAAATAAAATGTAAGCCCAACAAATTTTGAATCGTGCTAATTGGAATAAAATCGTGTAAAAAATTATAAATTGTTTTATTTTTAAACCGTATTAAAACAAAACCGTGTAAAAACAGAATTATGTGTATGCAAAAATCTTAAAAACAACAGCACATTCAATACTTTCATCAAGCAATTCGTAATCTGGGCATTTGAAACATAAAAATTTGCCAACATATCCAGTGCAACAAAAAAAATGTTGTTGTTTTGTAGAGTTGTGTTAGTGTGCAAGGCAATACTACAATCTCCGAACAAACTGTTCAGATTAGACCACTATAGCAGATAGTTACCTTTCAAACTGACCGAGCATATAGTTGCTATAAAAAATGTACCTGTGCAGCGGAAGTAAACGTTTTTTTGTTTAATGATTTTTTTACATCTTACCAATTGAAGTGCAAAAATGCTGATGTGCATACAGCGTTTTCATACATCGCTTGTTGCGTAAATCCCAAACTCTAATGGTTTTGTCATCACTTGCTGATATAAGATATTTACCGCCTGGATGAAATGATAAACCTCTGACCCAGTTATCATGGCCATTCAGAGTGAACAAACATACACCAACACTAATGTCCCAAATCTGTAACAATAATTAAAAATATACATTTAAAAATTCATCAGTTTTCTATATATGACATAAAATATATAATGTTACGGAGCAATAACAGAATATTTATTTTTTACAAAGTTTAACATTGAAATTATTTTCAAGTGTCAGCAGTAAAGTTACCTATTCTAACTTGCAAACAACTGTATTTCTAAGTACTTTTTATACATTTTGTTTGTCCGAAATATTTATAGGAATAAAAAGTAAATTAACTCAAATGAGATATATGTCACTCAACCAATGGGGCTAAATTTATTAACTGGGGTATATGTGAAAGACATCCACCAAAAGATCGAAAATTAGTATATTAGGGATATGAAGCCTAGGGCCTAGGTCTAGACCAATTTCATTCATATTCAGCGCCAAACCACATTATATACATATATTCTATTATTACATATTTCATATATTTAAGAAAATTGTTCACTTAATTTCATAGAAATGTCTCACATATTGACCGACATAAATGCTTAAATTCAGATGGAAAGTCAATATTAGTAAAAATCTTATTGATGGCTATAACATTTGAAATTACACAAGTATACTTCAGAAAATGTTTTCACGTGAAGATAATTCACACACTGACTGACATATTGGGCATAAAGGCTACTGGACTAACGAAAATCATTATACACTCACGTACAAATGGTTTGGATTTACTCACCTTTATGTTATCTATCATTGTGTTTAATTTCATTAATGAAATATCTTTGGTTATTTTATTTCAATAATAAAAATATAAAAAAAAAACTCATATATTTCGGTGGTAAAAGTTTGGCACTCTTCGGCAGATTGAGAATTCTTAAAACATAATTGCCTATATTTTGTTTAAAAAAGAAAAAACAATAACAATAATGCTAGTAAAAATAAACGTAAGAATTGCAGCAGTACAGCAACTGTGTTGCATATTTGCTGATACTCTTCTGATGAGCAGACAAACATTTAGTGTTGCCGATTATTTGCATAAATTGCGTGCAAAAAGTGACAGTAGAACGTGATGATGTTGCAAGTGTTGCCAGAAATTCGCGCAGAACGTAATACTTAGACAAATTTGCAACACTGCTGTCGTGATTGCCATCTTGAACGCAACCATGGTCTTGCGTAGCGTGCATTAATTACCACAGTTCAATAAAATGGGACGCAGGAGAGCGGTTACGGCATAAAAACAAAGCTTTGGATTTCTGGGACAAAGTATTGTTCACCGACATAAGCAAATTCAACATTTTCCTATGCGACGGTCGAATACGGGTATGGAGAAAGGCATATGCTGAATTTGAGAAAAACAATAGTAGTACTAATGTAAAGCATGGAGGTGGTAGATTCATGGTTTGACGATGTATGACGGCGACAAGCCTTGAGAACTTAGTATTTATTAATGGAGTAATTTATATATACAAGTACATGTGAAAAAGCTGAATCTTGAAAATCAGTTCCATTTTCAGCAAGATAATGATCCGAAACATATATCTTATACGTATGTGGATCATTCATCACGTTCCCACATTCTTGCAACTCCTCCTCAATCATCGGAGTAAGGAACGGCTAAGTTCGGCAAGTAAGGAACGGCTAAGTTCGGGAGTAACCGGCAAAACTTTATATTAAACAAATGAAAAAATGTTACGTTCCGTTGCACCGAAGCTATAATACCCATCAGAAATACAAAAGGTTTCTTACAAGAACTTAATTCCGATTGTTCAGTTTGTATGGAAGCTATAGGATATATGGATCTGATCTGAACAATTTTTTCGGATACTACATTGTTGACTTAAATAATAATCCATGACAAATTTCGTGAAAATACCACGTCAAATAAAAAAGGTTTCCATGCAAGCACTTTATTCCGATCGTTCGGTTTGTATGGCAGCTATATGTTATAGTGGTCCGATATCGGCCGTTCCGACAAATTAGCAGCTTAGTGAGGAACGGGCAGCTCATCATGCTGATCATTTATGTATATATTTTAAAGTGTATCCGATATATACTTCTGGGTACTACAAACTTCGTGGCAAACTTAATATACCCTGTTCAGTTTATAAAAATTAAACTAGAGTCAAATTTGGTGACTTATATTGATGGACATAAACTTAGATTTAATTTTATTGCTATATTTTAGTTCGCGTCAGCTAAAATTATATTAAAAACACATTCAAATGAGATATATTGTATGCTTGTAGGGAATATGATATTAACTCGACAGAAGAGGTCAAATTTAATATGGTATATTTAGTTGATGAAATGATGTGGAAAACGTCAACCAGAGGATCCCAATTCCTTATATTATATTAGGGATATGAGGTTTAGATCAAGGTATAGTAGGCCATATAACATATTCCATTCTTATACAGCCCTAAGCTACATAATTTTTAAAAAAACTTGTCCATTTAATTTCATTAAAATATTACACATTTTGATTTATATATAGGAGGAAAGGTGGAAATCATTTTATGGGGTATATTGGGAATAGAGAAAGGGAGGAGTTGATTGCATTAGTTTTGACATTGCTCAGGTATATTCGAGAACATATTTTTAAGCAATTTTTTATATAAATAATACTTACTGATCGACATATTCGGCATAAAACTTGTTAGTGTTGAAGGTAGCATTGACCCGGTTTTATAAATTTTTGCCAATACCATATACTACTAACATGACACAGACTAACAAACTGCTATCACCCAAATCACTAATATCACCCAAAAGTTCAAAAATCTTTATATTAGGTATATGGAGGCGAAGGGAAGTATTGACCCGATTCAACCCATTTTTGGCATATAGAAATATATAATATTATCCTCATATTTAGTATCTGGGGGCTGGAACAGTTGTAGTCCGATTTGGACATATTTTGTGCATCGTCCAATATTTTGCTTAGTTATTGCAGTTTATAGGTTTTCGTTTAATTGCGTTTTGTGGGCGTTTCATTACGATACCTTATTTTTACTCAAGTTACAGCTTGCATAGAAGGACGAACAGAAAGACATCCGAATTTCTACTTGTCCCATCATCCTGATCTTTTATATATACATAACCCCATATCCATCTCGATTAGTTTTAGGTGATACAAACAACCGTATGTTATTTTTGTCAGAAAAGTATGGTATGTCGATATACGAAGCATATGGCACAAACCATCCCACGCTTTTCTCACAATAATACACGTATTTTTCGGTCAATATTTCGGTCAGTTTATATAAGAAATTATTTTTCTCTTTTTAGTTTGAAGTGTTTTAAAAGCGCGTTTTTTAGTTTTTTTGAACTATATTTATTTTTACTTTTTAGTTTTATGTGCTTTAAAGTATGTTTGTTAGTATTTTAAACCATTATTATTATATAGCCCCACGTGGCTTTTTTACTTTCATTAAGGATGCGTTAAAGTAAATTTGATATTCACATGACAGCATGGATAGTTGATGCTTTTCGCTGCATAGTCTTAGGGGAAGCTTGTTTGCAGGGTGGATAGTTCAGGTTTTTAGCTGTATAGTTTCACAGTCGTTGTACGATTTCGCTTATTTCCAGTGTGTGATAGGAATGCTTGGGTAACCTGACATACCAAATCTGGTTGAAATTAGTTCGATAGCTCCTGAGATATAGGATTTCACAAAAAGGTGCCATGACCATTTTAAAGTTTTTACACCTCCTCCTATAAAGCTCTTCCCTAACATATTGTTTGTGAAATTTAATGCTTATGGCACATTTATTTAATGATTTATCGCTTTTTTAGTAGTGTTAGACATAACCGTTATATGGAGAGTGGACGTGGTTATTATTATCTGATTAAGCCCATTTTCACAGCGTATGAACAAGTACTAAAAAAAAAACTTCCTCCCAGCAAATTTAGTTGAGTTAGCTTCAGCGGTTCGGAAGATATGAAGGTGTCGTTTATTCCTGTGATCCCCTATACCAAATTACAGTTCGCTATCTTAATTTAGTGCTTAGTTAAGGCACTTTATAGGTTTTCTTTTAATAGCATTTTGTGGGCGTGCGAGTGGGAGTATTACGCCCATCTACAATACCGACCTCTCTTGGGTGCCAAGGAACATATAATATGTAGCAAATATCATCAAGATATTTCAATTTATACTCAAGTTATCGCTTGCACAAAAAAAGTTACAAACATACTGATGAAGCTAATAAAAGCGTAATAAAAAATTATTCAGGAAAGAAAATTTCAATGATATCCGCACCGACATTCATCTTGAAAAATTACTTTTCCTATGTGCTCAGTTAAAGCATTTGATGAGTTAACAGTACCATCTAAAATTATGGCGAATGCTTTAATATAATATATTAATATAATCACAACAAACATTAAAGTAACAAGTAAGGAAGGGCTAAGTTCGGATGTAACCGAACATTTTATACTCTCGCAAAGTTAAATGGTATATTCGTTTGAGAATTCTTTATATATTTTAATAATTAGAAGTAGGAACTGTTGCCTTAGTTTACTAGTAGTTATTTACTTTTCACTCACAGTGAAAATAATTAGAGCAGAATTATGAAGAATTATGAGAAATCGTTCTTGTGCTTTTTGTATACGCTTATAATTGATTTTATATAGAATGCATTACAACTGTATTGAGAAGTATGAAAAGAAATCGTTTTTGGACAATGAATAACATTTTTTATTTATTATATCGATATTATTATACATGTTTAGCTTAAAAATAATAAATATTAACAACTTTAAAAATGATATAATATTATTATATTAATTTGTATATAATATTTACAATATTAAACATAAATTTTTGTAGAGATTCTTATACATATATCCAAATTATATTTCTTTTTTCCTTATACTATTTAATTTCTATCATATATTTATATAATAATGTCATATATAATAACAAATTATATATATAATTTAAATTTTCTTAATTAGATTATTTACATATTTTTCTTAAAATTGTCTTAAAAACTACTGTCAAAATTCCTATACCATTCCAATTCGATTATATTTGTAATATACATAA